GGAGGAGGAGGAGGAGGAGGAGGAGGAAGAAGAAGACTGTGGGATCCTTGATACTCTCTGAGCTGGGTGGTTTTCTTGCAGACGTTTCATGACCCAACTAGGGAACATCCTCAGGGCTGGAAGGGAAGGGGGTTTGAGGGGAGGAGGAGGAGAAGGAGGAAGACTGGGACTTGAGCTATGTCAGGGCTTCTCAACCTTTGCAACAGAGAGATACGTAGACTTCAACTCCCAGGATTCCTCAAGCGGAACCCCCCAAGAGCAGCCGGGTGCTCAATAAAAAACGGTGACGGTCCCATTCTTGGGCTGCTCTGATTTTTAAAGCCGACATGTCTTTCCCCTGCAGGTTCCAGCTTCCTCCTGGTCACCAGCCCAGCCTCCCACCGAGTGGTCAACACACGCTACAGGCTGGTGAAGAAGTCGGCGGGGTCTCCCTTGATTTCTGCAGCCCCCGGGGCCGGGCCGGCTCACGGTTGGAAGGCCAGGAGACTTTCATTGTCCAGGTAACGTTTGCAGAGCCATCGTGCAGCCAGGCTGTGGATGCAGAGCAGAATGTAGATAGGGTAGGGTAGAATTAGAATAGAGTAGAGTAGAAAAGAAAATGGATAGGATAGGATAGGACGGGACAGAATAGAATAGAATAGAATAAATGAAGAATAGAATAGAATAGAAAATGGGATAGAAAATGGAATATAGAATGGAATGGAATGGAATAGAATAGAATAGCAAATTAGAATAGAATAGAATAGAACAGAATAGAATAGAAAATGGGATAGAAAATGGAATAGAAAGTAAATAGGATAGGGTAGGATAAATGTAGAATAGAATAGAATAGAATAGAATAGAATAGAATAATAGAATAGAATAGAATAGAATAGAATAGAATAGAACAGAATAGAATAGAAAATGGGATAGAAAATGGAATAGAAAGTAAATAGGATAGGGTAGGATAAATATAGAATAGAATAGAACAGAACAGAACAGAACAGAACAGAATAGAATCAGAATAGAATAGAATATGGAATGGGAATAGAATAGAATAGGATAGAAAATAGGATAGAAAATGGAATAGAAAATAGGATAGGATAGGATAAATGTAGAATAGAATAGAATAGAATAGAATAGAATAGAATAGAATAGAATAGAATAGAATAGAATAGAGAATGGAATGGAATAGAAAATGGGATAGAAAATGGAATAGGATAGGATAGAATAGAATAGAATAACATTGTCACTTTAAATGTATAAAATGAGATTTCGTTGCATATAGCTCTCAAATGATGATGATGATGGTGGTGGTGGTGGTGATGATGCATATAGCTATATAACCTTGCTGAGGAGCCTTTTCATCGTGATACAAAGATGGGAAATGGCTGCCTTTCCTCTCCCTGAGGAGATTCACACCATGGGTACAGGACTGCCCAAAACTCTACTGCTGAGCAAGAGAGATGCTAGGCAGAACGGGTAGCTACATTTTGCTGAGTTCAGACAACCGGCTGAATGTACACTGCTTCCGGAAGTCCAGTCTGGGCCTCGGAGCCCTGGAGGAGGCCTCCCAGGCCTGGAACGGTCCGCCGGAAGTGCGTGGATGCCACTTCCGGAAGTCCGTTCTAGGCCTCGGAGGCCCAGGCCTGCATCCAATAACAGAACCGGTGGTTCGGCTATTTCAATCCCACCACTGGCAATGCAGGTAGTCCTCGACTTAACGACCGATACGCCAAGCGACCATTCAGATTTCCCACAAACCTCCCCGGCTGGTAATTATGGCCCAGTCTCTTCTCTCTTCCCCCCCCGGTCACATGACCCCCCCGTTCAACTTACTTGCCAACTAGGCCCTATGTGTGTGTTTGTTTGTTTGTGAATCTGATTTGCCGCCTATCTCGCCGCGGGGCCGTTCTTACCCCAATAAAGGGAGCACAAAAGGGAAGTGAAATTATGGAACCATAAAATAAACAATTTTTTAAAAAAGGAGAATATGGGTAGTCCTCAACTTACAACAGCCCATTTAGACACTGACCAAAGTTACAACAGCACTGGAAAAAAAGTGACTTACGACGGGCCGTCGCCGCATCCTCCGTGGGCACGCGGTCCAAATCCAGACGCTTGGCGACGGGTTCGCATTTACGATGGTCGCCGTGTCCCCGGAGGGGGAGTCACGCGATCCCCTTTTGCGAACATCTGACGAGCAAAGTCAACGGGGGAAGCGGGATTCGCTTTGCGACCACGTTACTCACTTAACAAAGGCGATGATTCACTTAACAACCGTGGCAGGAAACGTCGTAAAACGGGGCAAGACTCGCTTCACAAATGTTTCCCTTAGCAACCCACATTTTGGGCTCTGTTGTGGCTGTAACTGCAGGACTGCAGTACATCCGTGTGATAACAACTTACACCTGTGCCTGCAGCGTCCCCCGGTCCCGGGAGGACTTTTTACTACAGCTTTTGCCGAAAAATGGCATTTCTTCCCGATTTTCAATAACGCCGCGCCCGTAGGGAGCCACCACTTCCCTTAATGTCCGTGATGATTTACTTAACGACTGTTGGAAAAAAAAGGTGGCAAAACCAAATTACGTGAACGTCGCGTGTTAACGACCGTGATGGCAAGGCTCCGCGACGGTCGCAACTTAAGAGGACTACCTGTATTTTTATCTGCCTCTCCCTCCATCCCTATTTTCAACCTGCGTGTTGCCTCTTTCCCAAGACCTTCCCAAGGTCTGCAGGTGGCTGGTTTCCACCTTGTCATTACGGCTTGCGGACGACCCTGCTTGGGGTCTCCCCTTCCGATTCACCCCAAAATTCACGGAAGGATATTTTCATCCCTTAGAAAATAACACACACACACACACACACACACACACACACACACACACACCAAAATGGATGATCAATAGCCATTTGCCGGCAATTAGTTTAAAGCGTCTGAATATATTATAAACTTCTGCAAATGAGGCTGGCTTGAAAAGAGGGAAAATGAATTTTTTTTTTAAAAAAAAAATCAGAATAAACTTCTTCAATTACTCGGTGAAATAAAAGAAAGTGCTGATCCTCTCTCTTTTTTTTTTTTGGTTTTAAAAAAAAGCTGATTATTCAGTATTTGTTGCTGTTTGAAAACAGTTTAAAAATTAAGAAGCAGATGCTTTATCTGGGCAACTTCTGTCGCACAGCGATTTAGTGGCGCTTGACAGTGTCAAAACAATTTACTATTTCAGGGAGTTGGAAATGGAAGTGGTGCCGTTTACTGCCGTCCTCCAACAATTGATTATCCCTTTCCTAAAAATAGCCCCGCTCGGTCCAAACGGGAGGCAGCCCTGCCTTCGCGCGGGGGAGGGCGTTTTTTAATTTAGGAATCGGGTTGAGGAAGAGGAGAAGGGGACTTGGGGAGGCCTGGGGCTTCCGGAAGGTTATTTGGAATTATTCTCTGACGTGAGTCAATTTTGGGGGGATAATAGGCCGCTATTGTAAAACCCTAGTAAGGCCACACCTGGAATACTGCAGCCAATTTTGGTCACCATATCACAAAAAAGATGTTGAGCGTTTGGAGAAAATTCAGAGAAGAGCAACTAGGATGATCCAAGGCCTGGAGGCTAAAACATAC